GATCTATAATTAATCTAGAATTAATTTAGAGATCAAAAGTATGACTAATTAAATATGGGCTCTTGTATTTATATAGTGCGAGCTAATGCTTATTTGGAATGGGCTAGGCTTGCATGGAAAGTCTGTGGATACTCCATGGAGCTTTAACCCATGGATCTCATGGAAATGAAAAGACATGGGTATTAGGGTTTGCATGAATGTAACCCTAATCCACCACACTATATAAAGGAGGCTTTGGTTCTTGAAATCACATGAGTTGTGGTGAGTAAAGTAAGAGGGTCGATTTCAAGAAAGGTGATTATTATTCTCACAAAATTCCAAGTTTGTGGTGATTTGTGATTTCCATTTGAGGCATCCACACTATTGGTGCTAGGCTCTAAAACTCCAAGCAATCAAATACAACTACAAGGTAAGTAATTCTACTAGCTTTATTTGATTCAAGTTCCCCATGCCATGCTAGATAGGATAAGAACCTTGGAAAAATAATTATTTGCATGTATCATAGTCAAACACAGATCCAAGGTTTCTAGGGTTGCATGTACACCATAGGAGTGTTAGAATGCTCAAAACCCATCACCATCACCACAAGCCTTCACCTCGGCTACTACCGGCCTGTCTCACTCAACTAACTCAACTGGGTCATTATCTCAAGATCCAGTGCAGGCTCTTACTCAACTTGCATCTCAACTTGGTTTCAGTCTTCAACCAACAGCTCAATAATCACAAGCTTTCTTCACCTCTCAAAATCAAAATAATCGAAGTCGAGGTCGCACCACCAACAATCGTGGTCGTGGACGTGGTCGTTTCTCCGGTAATAGAGCTAACACCGGACAATTTAATTGGGCATCAAATCAGAATATGGTGTATGGGACATGCAATCGTTGTGGGATCGGTCACATTCCATCCGCTTGCCCTAATCGGGATCCAGCTACCATGCGAACCAGACAACCCTCTGTTAATCATGCTGATTATCGTTCTCAAACACCATCATGGCTACTCGACACCGGCTCTAACAGCCATGTAGCTCCGGATCTCTCTAGCATTGGCACTGTTGAACCTTATTATGGTGATGATTCTCTTCACGTTGGAAATGGTAAGGGGTTACCCATCTTACATATTGGCTCCACTAAACTGTACTCTCCTACCAAAACTTTTTCCTTAAACAATATTCTTCATACCCCACAAATTAAACGTAATCTTATTTCAGTTCAACAATTTTGTCATGATAATAACGTTTTCTTTGAATTTCATGATACCTTTTTTGCGGTGAAGGACGAGGTTTCCCACACTACCCTCCTCACGGGTCCAAGTGAACAAGGTCTTTATTCATTTTCTTGCCCGTCGTTTCAACCAATCTCCAAAAGTGCTTTCACTTCTATTCGTGCTCCTGTTCAAACGTGGAATCAGCGGCTTGGCCACCCTCATCCGCAACTTTTAAAGTCAATGTTATCTAAATATTCTCTTCCTGTTTCCAATAAATGTTTATATTTTCCTTGTAATGGTTGTCACGTTGGAAAATCCTCAAAACTATTTTTACCATTATCAAATTTTAAAAGTACTAGTATTCTAGATCTTGTCTTTTGTGATGTGTGGGGTCCAGCTCCTATTACCTCTTCTAATGGTCATCGTTACTTTCTACTTTGTGTTGATCATTTTACCCGTTATATGTGGCTATTTCCGTTACAACAAAAATATGATGTCTTTGCTACTTTTAAACACTTTCTTGCAATGGTTGAGAGACAATTTGATACCAAACTAAAATCTGTCCAAACAGATTGGGGTGGAGAATTTCGACATCTTCCCCATTTTTTTTCTCCACTTGGTATTATTCATCGACGCTCTTGCCCACATACAAGTGAGCAAAACGGCTTTGTTGAACGTCGTGATAGACATGTCGTTGAAACTAGACTCACATTGCTTGCTCAATCTGGTGTGCCATCAAGGTTTTGGCATTTTGCCTATGATACCGCTGTTTACCTCATAAACCGTATGCCATCTCGTACCTCGTCCAATATCTCGCCTCTTAAGCATGCCTTCTCTCATAAGACAGATTATTCCTTTCTACGTGTCTTTGATTGTTTATGCTACCCTCATCTTCGTCCCTACAACAACCACAAAATGGATTTTCGTTCCATTCCTTGTGTGTTCCTCGGGTATAGCACCAGCCATCACGGGTATCGATGCCTTGATCCCACAACCGATCGTATATATATCTCAAGACATGTCCGGTTTAATGAGTATACCTTTCCTTTTCTACAAACCTCTACTACACCAACTACACCCTCTTCCTCCAATCCTTATGTTTCGAGTTATCCAAACCCCACCCTATCCACTAACTCTGAATCTATTCCCACTCCTACCCATCATACCGTTTCTGAACAACTTCCTACCGAACAACCCTCTCTGACTGTTCCGACCAGCCCTCCCCGACAGCCTCCTCCTGAACAACCTTCTGTTGTTCTATCTCACTCCGAACAGCCTCCCGCTGACGTCCCTGTGCACACTGATCAATCTCGCACTCATACTCTCCCATCAAACCTCCGACAAAACCCAAAACCACGAGTTCCTTATGATCCTTCAGCTTATACCACCACTTCTTCCTTCTCCGAGATTGAACCTACTACCTTCACTGTTGCCAACAAGTCACCTAGGTGGAGGGCTGCCATGGCAGATGAATACTCCGCCCTCATGCGTAATGTCACATGGTCTCTTGTACCACCCGTTCCAAATGCAAATGTCGTTGATTTTAAATGGGTATACAAGCTTAAACGAGATCAAACAGGTGCGGTCACTCGCTACAAAGCACGTTTAGTTGCCAAAGGATTCAAACAACAACAGGGTATAGACTATCATGAGACCTTCAGTCCGGTCGTCAAATCTACAACAATTCGTACGGTTCTATCTCTTGCTGTTACCCGGGGGTGGACATTACGACAATTGGATGTTCAAAATGCCTTTTTGCATGGAGAACTAAAAGAAACAGTTTATTTGCGACAACCACCAGGTTTCATCGACCCAACAAAACCAGATCATATTTGTTTACTCCACAAATCCTTATATGGGCTTAAGCAGGCGCCCCGTGCGTGGTATAATCGTCTGACCAAAGCCCTACAAGCTCTTGGCTTCAAAGGATCAGTCACCGATCCTTCTCTCTTTGTTTATACGTCTAATGGTACTATTCTTTATATGTTGGTGTACGTTGACGACATAGTTCTCACTGGTAACAACTCCAATGCCATTGATCGCGTCATCAAAAGTCTTGGTCAGACATTTGCAATTAAAGACTTGGGTCCTCTTTCCTATTTTTTGGGAATTGAAGTAGTGCGCAAACAAAAGGATCTGGTTCTATCCCAAAAGAAATATATTATGGAATTGCTCCAACGGACAAATCTCTCTAACTCCAAACCAGTATCGTCTCCCATCACTACCACTGCTGATTTGAAACTTGGTGACAGTGCCTTATTTGACGATCTGGTCCGTTATCAAAAAGTTGTTGGTGCCTTACAGTATGTCACTCTATCCCGTCCATATATTACTTTTGCAGTCAACAAAGTCTGCCAGTTTATGCATTCCCCAACTGAAAATCATTGGTCTGCTGTCAAACGCATACTTAGATATCTTCAGGGCACTTATGATTATGGTCTTCTTCTTCAACATAAATCTGATGCTGTTCTTCATGCTTACACTGACACTCATTTTTCATCTTTGAGTGCCTACTCGGACGCAGACTGGGCTGGTTGTCCTGATGACTGTCGATCCACCGGGGGATATGCCATCTATCTTGGAAACAATCTTATTTCTTGGTCTGCTAGAAAATAACGCACTGTATCTAGGTCATCTACAGAATCCGAGTACAAAGCTTTAGCCGATACCATTGCTGAACTCACCTGGCTTGAATCGCTTCTTCGGGAGCTTAAGGTTTCTGTGACATCTGTCCCGGTCTTATGGTGTGACATTTTGGGTGCTACTTACTTATCAGCTAATCCTGTCTTTCATGCCCGCACAAAACATGTTGAAGTTGATTTTCATTTTGTTAGAGAAAAAGTTGTTGATGGAAAACTCAATGTGCAATTTATCTCTACACATGATCAGATTGCAGACATCTTTACCAAGCCGTTACCGTCTCAACGATTTACTGATTTACGGTCCAAGCTTCAGCTCGTTACGCGCCCTTAGCTTGCGGGGGAATATTAGACAGTCTATACTATAATAATAGGAGGATACAAAGTGTAATTATGTATCTTATATATACATACAGTGTAATCAATATTACGTGAGTAATATACAATCCTTACCAAGTTTATCTAACAACCATACATCGGTGAAGTATTTCATTGAAAAACAATGGTGGCTTGACACTAAGACTTAAGAGACAGTTTCATGACCATTCGGATGAACTACACCACCAAGAAGTCAAAGAGTAAGGAGGTACAAGCTACTAATGCAAGAGGTACAAGTTTGTTGGATTCTCCTCTCCACACACAATACATCATTTTGAGAGAGGATTTGATGGATATTTTTTGTGCAAATCCACCTAAAAACGATGAAATTATTCTTGTTTGCATAAATAAAATTTAAACCTTTTTATTAATGATAGAGAAATTAAATTTCCTCCTACTTTTTATGCCTACAAATATTCCTACCCACTAACATTATGACACGTGTCATTATTCCACCATTCAATTTAATTTTATTTGATATATTCGTAATATACTCTTAATGAGATAGTTAAGTAAATATGAAATGCTAACACATGTCATAATTTTAATAGGTAGAAATATTTGTAGGCATAAAAGGTAGGAGGTAATTTAATTTCTATTAAAATAATTCAACAGTTGTCATTTGTTGCAATAAAAATCATATGATGATTATATCATCAATGTAAAGTCAACTCACTTTATATCGAAAATGTCAACTCACTTTATATCGAAAATGTCAACTTGATATTCTTTAGCTGTTGGTGAATTGGAAATTTCTTGGAAAATCACCTCTTAATATATATCAACTAATCAACATGTCATTACTCAGATATCTCGTGAGCTTCTGGTAAACTGGAATTCTCTTGGAAACTAACATTTCTCTCTCTTTTCTGTATAGTTCATTTCATTGAGGTGCTGAAAGCCTGAAACCACATCACATACCTTCTATCTCAACAAGTTATCAACTGATCGATCAATGGCATCTTCATCATCATCTTCTCCATTGCCTCCAGCCCTTTCCTCTCAATCATGGAATCATGACGTTTTCCTTAGCTTTAGAGGAAAAGATACTCGGAAGACTTTTGTCGATCACCTCTATAAAGCTCTTGTACAACAAGGAATTGACACTTACAAGGACGAAAAAACGCTTCGTCAGGGTGAATCGATCCGTCCATCCCTTGTGAAGGCTATTGAGGAATCACATATTGGCATCATCATATTCTCTAAAAACTATGCAGATTCAACCTGGTGCTTGGATGAACTAACACATATTATGAAATGCAAGGACATGACAGGGCAAATTGTGATCCCCATATTTTATGATGTGGATCCGTCTGAAGTGCGAATACAAAAACGGAAATACGGAGAGGCATTTGCCAAACATGAGCTGAGGAACAAAAAAAATGTTGAATCTTGGAGAAAAGCACTTGTAGATGCAAGTAACCTCTCTGGATGGGTTCCCAAGAACATTGCCAACGGGTATCTTTTATTATTTTATATTTTTTGCACTTTTTATGCTTAAGATATGTTTGATCTAAAGAGACATTTATCCTTGTACGGTTGTCCCTTATAAGATCTTATACAAATGTTTTAATTATTCTTGATGATGTTGATGACCTTGATAAAACAGGGGCTTTGACTTGATCAATTGGTCAGTTGGGTTGGTTAAAAGATATCTCAAGTCCTCAGATTATGGATAAGATCATATTAAGTTATATGACGTTGAGTTTTACCTTTAATTCTGTACATAACGGCATAACGCCTTGCTTGAAGTTACAACAACAAATTCATCTTTCTTCACCTTTTTCTGTTTGAAACTATTCAATATTTCCCAAAAATATTGCTACAAACTACTTGTCTACTTGTGGTATTAACTTTACAATTTTATATTAAATCTGAAGTATAAAGGGCGGTTATGTCTCCTCCTTTTTTTCATAATTAAAGCATGACAACGAGTTCTCTCCTTTGTCAGTGTGATCATGCCTTAATTATCCTTGTATATCCAATATGTAGGTATGAATCAATGGCTATCAAAGAAATTGTTGACAATATTTCATCGAGGTTGCAGCTAGTAACTTCAAGTGCAAATGAGAAGCTGATCGGAATAGCGGCTCGCATGCAACGTTTAAAATCAGCGTTACAAATTGGGTTGGGTGGTGTGAACATGATTGGAATATGGGGGGTTGGAGGTGGTGGTAAGACTACTCTTGCATCTTCTATATATGATGAAATCTATAGAAACTTTGATGGTTGCTGCTTTGTTGCAAATATTCGAGAGGAATCAAGCAGGCATGGTTTGGAAAAATTGCAGAAACAAATTCTTAAAAAGATGGAAGGGAAGAGCATTGGGGGAGGAAGAAGCTTGATAGATAAGAGGTTTCGTAATAGAAAGGTCTTGATTGTTCTTGATGATGTCAATCACCTTGACCAACTAGAAGCGTTAGCTGGATCGCCTGATTGGTTCGGTGAAGGAAGTCGAATAATAATCACAACCAGAGATGAGCATTTATTAAAAGCTCATGAAGTTGTGGTACATGATATTAGCTTGTTAAATGCTGATGATGCTATTCAGCTCTTTCACAAGTATGCATTCCGGGGTTACATGCCTATGGAAGATTATGAGCAACTTTCAAAAGAGGTGGTCTCTTATGCCGGTGGGCTTCCATTGGCACTTACAATTCTTGGATCTTCTCTCTGTGACAAAAACATTGATCAGTGGAGGAGTGCATTAGCCAGACTAAAAAAGATCCCAGATAATAAGATTTTGGAAAAGCTAAAAATCAGCTTTGATGGACTTACAAAGGTTCAGAAAGACTTGTTTCTTGATATTGCATGTTTTTTTCCGGGGTGGAAGAAAGATAGGGCAATGGAGATACTTGATGCTTGTGGTTTTCATCCTGTTATAGGAGTAGAGGAGTTGAGACAAAAGGCTCTCATAACTATCTCGAATGGAAGGTTCGATATGCATGATCTGTTGCAAGAAATGGGACACTACATTGTTAGAGGGGAACACCCTAGGAATCCCGAAAAACATAGTAGAGTTTGGAAGAAGGAAGATGTTCTAACAATATGTGCTATGGATGCAACCATGGTAAGAGTTAGTCTATCTTTGTGTGATATATGTATGAACCATCACTTTTAGCTCAACATTGGCACCATTTTTGTTCCTCTATGACAGGAACTTGACATGATTGAAGCAATAAAAGTTGATTATAGTAGCTTTCGAGAGGCAAAACCTCCTCCTATTCTTGCAAACATGAGGAACCTTCGTTATATTCAATGGAAAGGTGATCCTGCAAATCCGTCGGTTAATAACTTTCCACCAAGGACTCTTTGTTGTCTGGTATTAGAATATGCCATCAAAGACCAACTTTGGAATGGTTATAAGGTAATTCTTATTGTTTATCCAATTCACAAATGAAAACAAAGTAGATAGTGAATTATAGACTTTAATCCAAAGAGTAAATAGTAGTTACCCTTTTGTCTAAACATAGCTTTGTCACCTCTTATAGTTTTGTCTAAACATACATACACAATTGCTTTTGTATTTTGAAAGTAAATACTATTTTGTTATATAGGTAAGATTTCAATTTAAATCTATATTTTTGTTTATTAAATCGATCTATCCGTCAGTTTGGGTTTAAAAGTATGTTCTTTGTTTTATTAAGTGATTTTTAGATATTAAATTAAACAGTCAAACACTTCAAATGATTTCCGTTCAAAGATGGAAGGAATTAGTACTTTTTTTTTCTATTTATGACCCCATATAGAAATAGTATGTGACTGAGACGCATTAAACAATCAAACACTTCAAATGGTTTCCATTCCGATTTTTGTTAAACTCTTATCACGTACCTTAGTACATTATTTACTTATTTGCACTTGTATACAACAGTGTCTGCCAAATTTGAAGATGATTAAACTTTGGCAATTGAAAACCTGGTCATAACACCAAATTTTGATGGAATTCCACTTCTGGAAAGATTCAAGCTTCATGGATGTCCGAAATTAAAAGAGATTCATTCATCATTTGGAGGCTTGGACAAGCTTGTTTGCTTATCTATAATAGACTGCAAGGGTATTAAGAAGTTTCCATCTATTACTCGACTAAAGAAAATCGAGACCCTTTCATTCGCAGAGTCCCCTAGAGTTTTTAAGCTTTCAAAGATCCAACAGAAGATGGACAGTTTGGGAGATGAAGACATGAGCTCTGCTGTTAGGGAGTTATCCAACTTGAACAACATACAGTTACGTTATTTTCATTATTTTCGTTTTTTTCGCAGAGAGTACCTGAGAAAGTTGGATCTCGGTTTCTGTGAACTGGGGGATGAAAACATGAGCTCTGCTGTTTGGGAGTTACCCAACTTGAAAGAACTCGATCTAAGAGGAAATTACTTTTCATGCTTAAGTTTTGGTCTCATGCGAATTCCTCGGCTCAAATTTCTCGATGTGTCATCTTGCACATGCCTTGTAAAATTATCAGAGCTCCCATCAAGCATATCTGTTCTTAAAGCAGATGATTGCAAGTCACTTAAAACCTTTGGAGATACTTATAACTGTAAATGGCTGTGGAAAGTCTCGCTTTTTGGGGCGCACGAAGTAGGTTTAGCAGCTGGTTACATGTTACTAGATTCCATGCTTAAGGTTTGGCTCTGTACACTTTTGGTGTTTCGATCTTTATTATACAGACCCAAAAATCTATATATCTACACTAAAAGAAGTATTTTTTATATAGTTTTAATACGAACAACAACGCTCATTGGCTACTATAAAAGAAACAATTCTCAAAATATTCAAATTTAAACATAATATATCTATTTTATTAATTCAAATATGTTATTAGTTATGAAATATTATCATATTAATGGTAGTTTTTTTTAATATCAATATAATATATTTAAAATATTTAAATATCATGCTAAATTCAAAATATAAACCAAAATATGAGATAAATCTAAAAATATCCAAAGACGAGAACCATATTGAATTGAACCTCCCTAACTTTTCAACTTCTAACTTTACTTAATTTACTAAATATAAAACTTATCATTTTAGTTTGACTTTATAAATTATTAATATATTATTATTTATCCCTCAATTTAAATATGATGTTAAATACAAGATCTAAAATTAACATTTTGAATCATTATTATAATATATTTAATTTGTCAAGTATAGTATTATATGCAAAACATAATTTAAAATATCAAATAAACTTAAAAACAAATTATTCAAAAACATTTTTGTTTTTCAAATGGTTAAAAGGATCTAAATAAATAAAATGTAAAACTTAAATTGAAATGTTAAATTAACTAAAAAAATATCCAAATTTTTTATAATAATTGAAAATTGTCCAAAGTGTGTTTTATATCAATTAAAAATAATAAGTTAAAAATAACATAAATTATAAATTATATTTTGTTACTTTACAAAGAAGTCACAAAGTACGTAGAGGCCATTGAATGGTGTGATTTTAATACATGTTTATCTTATAATATCATTCAAATTAATTAAGTTTTTTTATATAAACTTAGTGTAAGAACTATTATTTCATAGTTAATGCTAATAACATAATTATTTTGAATAACATGTATATACCAAAAGTTTAACCACATAATTCTATTTTGCGGAATGCTTCTAATAAGAATCATAACTTAACGTTTTTCCCATGGTAGGGAAATTCTATTGAAGATCACCTTATCAGTGTTACTCTTCATCCTAAGATTCCAGTAGGGTCTATAGATAGGCTGTTTAGAGGGAACTCATTTACATTGCGTTTGCCACATGATTGGTACAATGACTTTTGTGGGTTCTTAATACACGTTGTTACCTTCAACGTAATTCCGTTTCTTGTTATAATCATCAAGCAAGAGGTAAATGAAGATCCTCCATTTGAGCTTTGGCAGGAATCTAATGAAGAATTAGAGCAAGATTCTAATGAAGATCTGGAGCAGGAATTTGATGAAGAACTGGATTCGGAATATGTGACACATGTGGGATATGTTTCCTTTAGTTCATTGAGGCACATTGCATCCTTGATTTCAACTTACAATGTGATCTCGATTTCCTTAGATCAATTTGGGTTCAATCTTATAGAGACAGTTGGAAATAGAATAGGTGCTGAACTCATTCTTAGGAAAAGTGAAGATGCTCCGGTGCAAACAACAAAAGCAGTAATAGGAGACTCAGAATTTTGGGACGAGGAAGTTGGCCATGCACCGGCATTTACCATCGAACATGATTCATCTATCAAGATTGTATTGATGACTTGATACTTAGGCCAACAATATAAAAAAAAAAGAATACAATTCATGCTCTCAATATTTTCTTTTGCATTATTATTGTTAAATGGTCAGTGGTATCAGGTACTTTTCTCAAATTCTTGATAAAATGACATTTCCATATGTATCTAGTTTAATAAATACAAATTGTTTTTGCTACATGTCATACTCTCATACGTTTTGTCACATGTCATTTTGTGGTTATTTTAAATTATTTTTTTCCACATTGCATTTTATGGGTTTGACCATTTTTTATTAAATTCCACATAATATTGATATGTAATAACTGTAATAACAATCATAAAATATAGATATCAATTTCATTAATGCAAACTTTGATGGACTTTGATAAAAAAAAATATAAGTTAGTTTTTCATAAAAAACGGTCAACGGAAGCGTTAAAAATAACAGGTTTGTTTTTAGTTTATAACCAAACAAAACCATCAAGGATCAATTTATAAAAGTTAGAATGAAATAAAAACAACCAAAAAGTTTTTAAAATGACAACCTTTGAATCCTTTAAACCCATTTGGTTTTGGGGTGTTATGAAGATAACAAAAATTCGAGAATAGAATTTTTTTATGCGTATCCACCATCAAGAGTAAGGCACTTGGAATGCTAGCTAGTTCCTTCTTGTAATACTTTGATCTTTAAGCCTTTAAGTGCTTAACAAAATAAGCACTAAAGGAAGACACAAAGTGATGCTCTAAACACTAACAACTAGCTTCAAAAGGGAGAGTGCTTTGGAGAGCCAAAACTCATGGTTTTAGGAGGGCAAGAAAGAGAAGAAAGAAGAGCAAGTTTCTCATGCATAAGGCACTCTTATATACTCAATGCAAGGTAAGGGTCTTATAATAAAATACTCTAAAGTATTTGTAGCCTTTAGAAGCATGGGGAGACAAAGCATGGAGGTTGACAAGCAACCTCCATATTGTTGGGTTTTGAGCATTCTAACACTCCTATGGTGTACATGCAACCCTATAAACCTTGGATCTATGTTTTCTCTATTATACATGCAAATATTAAATATTCCAAGGTTTCATCCTAACTAGCATATTATGAAGCACCTATACTACAAAGTTCTAGTTAGATAACATACCTTTTGATGTAGCTTGATGTCTTCAAGCTTTAAGAGCTTAGCCCCAATAGTGTGGAAGCCTCAAGTGGAATCACAAATCACCAAAACACCTTGGAAAACCTTTATTGAATATGGATACTTGGCTCACACTATGAAATCAATTATTGCCCTCTTTAGTGTATCCACACTAGCCACTAGCATAATTTCATGAACCATAAGACCCTTTATATAGTGTGGAGGATTAGGGTTAAACCCTAATACCCATGACCTTTCATTTCCTAGGATCCATGGGTTAAAGCTCCATGGACTATCCATGAAGACTTAGCCCAACCTAAATGAACTTGGCCCACTACACATATATATATCTAAGAGTCCATATTTAATTAGTTCCTTTTGATCACTTAATTAATTATAAATTAATTCTTGATCAATACTAATTAAATAATATGATTATATATTAATATATTAGAACTTATAATATATTAATATAAATCATAAATATACTATTCTCAAAAGACTATCCATATAAATTGTGTCGGTGAAGTGCAACCCAAATGGACCATGCCGGGTCGGGTCAAGTACATACCAAAAATATAGTTATGGACTTAGACATTAATCCAACAGTCTCCCACTTGGATAAGTCTAAAACTATTATTGAGTATGACTTCTAAAACCAACTGGCAATCGTAGCTCTTAAAGCCGCTGTCGAACTCTGATCTTGTCAATGAACTCTGACCTTTGTCAATGACTTGTCCATTATATAAGGGATCATATATTCCTCCATTTTAGATATCATATGGGCTGAGACATGGATTATCAATCATTCTCTCTGTCCATTTGTTGTTCCCCCGATTTCTGATTTATGATGACTGACTGATTGAACAAATCAAATCAGTCTGGCTTGGCCAAGCACTCACATGTGTCATCACTAAATCATCGAGGGGCCCACAGATATCGCTTTTATCCCGAAGGTAAAAGGAATGGATAAACTTCGACTCATATGGCTTGTTCTACTACTTGTTGAATCATACACAAATGCACGTTTTATAACATCGAGTTACCAAATGCGTTTTCGTGCAATCAATGTACAACCAACTCATAGTAACAACTCATATCTCTAGGTTTGAAGAATATAAGATATTATCGTCTCATGATCACTCATGATAAAATCCATGAAGTGATTCAAATGAGCGCGGGTTGAATCCAGTACTCAGAACTTATGAGCACTCATGAGTATTGTAGCACAACTTTGTACACCAACTTGGACCTCTACAAGCCAACCCATGACAGTCTTGATTCATATCTACTTCCAACATATGACCGACTGTGGATGGTTTGAATAACTTAGTCATTCCGGAAGAATAACCTAGTTATTATGGAAGTCAAAACATGCAAAGTGAAACACAAGAATAAATGAATCAAATATGGTATCAAACCCTATGAATATAAATATACCACTTTTATTTATCACCATACTGATTACTCATTATTCATTGTTTCGGTTTTATCAACTTTATACCTGAATTAAAAACACTAGTTGTCCCATGCTCCAAGCATGTACACTATGTTTTTCTAAACAATAGCTTTGCCATACACCAAGTATGCACTCTATGTTTATCTATGATCCTTACTTTTTGAACTATATCGATTGAACATAATTTCAATTATTCTCTTTTCACACTTCCAAATCCTTGTCGTAAATGTAAGAATTTCTAACATTTATCGAAATTTGTTTAGATTTTAAACTTATATGCACTGTTCCTCTTGTAATGATTATGCACAAAGCCACAAAGACTTGGCAACAATCATTACAGAGTATTCCAATGGAGAGAAATTCCATGGAAACGATGTCTCAAATTCAAAGCGCATTGCTTTGAACATGCTTCTTGCATTAAGTTTCTTTAACCTTACACAGATTGCTTCCACCTATGAAGACAACTCTATATTCCCATTTTGACTACCACTTCTGAACAAGAGTTGCCTCTTTTCAGACTATGTCAATATGGTCCTTCCAATATTAACAGTATACTTCCAACTGTCCTTGAGCAACCAATCTTTGGTAAACCTTAGATTGTCCTCGACAATTGCTTAATCACTTTAGTCATATCCAATTCTAGACATTTTCCTCCTTAATGTCGCAAGGCATTTGGAAATTTGACTACGAAGAGGGATGCCGTAATCATAATCGAATTTTGAGAACACAATATATAGAGTTTTTCCTTATGTTGAACCAATTCAACATGAAATTCATATGTATATATTCTTGACTAAAGATGATTAAATCTCAATCTAAGCTTAAAATCCCACTCTAAGCCTTTTAGAATTGACATGAAGTATAATTTCCTCTCCCTTAATTATAGCAAAACAACTTTTTCAACCCCTGCAACCTCACGAATTGAAACTTTTGTTTTCTATAATTAACATTGCTAATATGCAATACTTATCATAATTATCATGCTCCCACTAACATGATGATTATTAGCATAACACTTATGCTCCCACTAGCTTTGACATGTATCCAGAAAACAGCTGGACCTCTAGAAGTCAATACTTTATTGACATTCTTACTAAAGTTCAGATTTCTGATACTAGATTGCTTTGATAAGGCTTTATCAAAATTATACACCTTATCTTAGATAGCTCACAGGTGTGTCTAAACAATTTCAGAACTATGAAAAGGGATGTCGTAATCATAGTCTCAATTGTTTAGACCTTTGCCATTTCTCATAAGTCTGTGTTAGTGTGTTGGTTAACCACGCACGCTCCACTAACGACTTTGAGAACTGCAAATATCACAATTGCTATCTACTTAGTGAAAGAATTTCCTCACCATCAATTTCATGAATCGGAGAGAAACCTTATGACACTTAGATTTTATGGTGTATGTGTTCTTATCCATGTGAATTTGTCAAACCATAATCACAAGACTAGGTTAGTGAAAAATCCTAACTCATATGGATTGAACTTGTGCAATCTTAACCTCTTGCCACCTAGCAGCACAAGGGCCTACCATTGCTTCCAAGTAGTTATGCAAACAATTGAGAACATGTAGAACTCAAATATATAGCCAACTTAACTGGAATTGGCACAGAAATGTCAACACGAGAGGTTATAAACCTCTAGTTGTGTGCTAGTGATGAAATACAAAGTTTTATTCTTGATTACTTCTTGAAACCCTTTCAGGATCTTTTAGACTCCCACTGTCTCCTTGACATATAATACTTTCTTTCCAAATATTCAAGAGATAGTGTGGATTCTAATCAAGACAAACACTTAACACAATTGGCCTAAGTTGGTCTCTGTTTTATCCAAAACATCACAACTTACCAAATTCAAATGTACAAGAGTAGAAAACCTTTTACTCTTACATTTCACTAGTGTTAATAAACCTTCTTTAAGATGTATCACTCAAGTTACATTTGTGGTGGGCTTGATCAGTGCACAAGAATGTGTACTCGATCCCTTAGTCATTTACTTGACTCACACATCCATATGAACAAGTAATTAGTCTTAATTTTCCAATGCTTGAAAGTTCTCATTCATCATACTATACAACTTGCATGATTTTGAAGTTTCTATCCAACTGAAACTTGGGTGATGAGAATCTTTCCTTATTTGGAAAATTTAGACACTACCACAAATGAAAGAATCAAATTCATATTTCCACTCTTGCTATTAATGGAATCATATAAGCAACAATTTTTTTTCCTTTTCACAAATGCCATTGTAAGGATATTTTAAAATAAATAAAAACAAATTTTTTTTTCTTTTATTTTAAAAACTTTGCGGAAAAACTATCCTTACAGTGCAAAAGCACATGAAAAACTTTGTTGTTATCTATTCCTAAGCAATATATCATAACTCCTAAGCAACAACTCAAAATTCTGATGACAGAACTATGCGATCATCTTCGCGATCAGAATCAGCATATACTTTCTTTAAGTTTCTTCACTTTTCTTTGATTCTTAAAACATCAACATGTGACCCAGTCACATCATGTAACAAGAA